GCGCTCAGCCCCGCCCCTTTCTCTGACGCGGTCCCTCCACGATACTTAGGAGGACCGCGCCAGATTCAAAGGGCTGGATTATTCGCACAGGTGCTGCAGAAAGATCAGCTGCTCTACTTTTGATCCTACCTGCTTCACTTCTAGACCTCGACTAGTAAAACGGATTTCTACCTTCTCCACTTCTCGACCTCGGCTTGTAAACGGATTTCTACCTTCTCCACTTCTCGACCTTGGCTTGTAAACGGATTTCTACCTTCTCCACTCCCAGACCGCGGCTTGTTAAAACGGACTTCCCCACTCTTCACTCCTAGTTCTCAGCTTGTTGAAACGGACTTCTAATTTCTCCTTCATTGGGTGAATTAACCCTTCCAGTGCCAGAACTGCCTTTAAGTTAAGTAATACTTTTACCAAACAAGCCAATTCCTATTATTTATATTACACAGTATCTAAAACTCACTAAAGTGTCACTTTGTCTAATTATTCCTCTTACTCATAAGGGATTGCTACAAAGCCTAATTTTACCTACATGGAGATTTAAAGGTACAGTGACCATAGTTTCATACCAATATAAAAGGAGGTGAACCTTATTGTTGTTGCAACCAAGAAATGCTGCAGTTGAGTTCCAATTAAAGAAATATTACAAAATAAGTATTACAGAATAATCCAGCCTAATTCAATGGAACCAGCAGATATTAACTCTCAAGTTTCTGCCCTAACCAATAGAGTGGATACGATTGCTCAAGGGTTAGAGGAACTGCAAATTACAAATGAGAGAATATTAACCTATGTTAGAGACATTCAAGGTCATCTTCCTCATGCCGCTCTTCAATCGGCTGGTGATCCTGCTGTCTGTAATCCAGAAAAAATTCATGGAGATAGAACAAAGTACAGAGAGAGTTTTTGAATTCTTGCAAACTACTAATAGCTTTAAAACCTAGATCTTATCCCACCGAAAGATCCAAAGTCTGTTCAGTGATCTCTTTTTTAAGAGGTGAACCTATGGCCTGGGCCCATTCCTTTTTGGAAAATGATGATCCCATATTAGATTCATTAGATGAGTTCTTTGAAGCTATGTCTTTATTATATGAAGATCCTTTTAAACAAACTACTGCTGATTTAACCATCAGAACATTACACCAAAAGAATAGACCTGTTGAAGATTATATTGCAGAATTCAAAAGATGGGCTACAGAAACCCAATGGAATGACATTACTTTACGCAATCAATTCCGTCTCGGATTATCTGAAGCTGTGAAAGATGAACTCTCTCGTACAGAACTTCCTCCTACCTTAAATGCATTGATTCAACTGTCTATCAGTATTGATAGACGTCTAAGAGAAAGAAAAGCTGAAAGGGTTCTTACTAATTCTACCTGGAGAAAACCTTTCACTACTCTAAAACTACCTGAAAAAATTCCTCCACAAACTGAACCTATGGAAGTAGGTATAATAAAAAGTCCTCTTACTTCTGAAGAAAGAATAAGAAGGAGACAACTAAACTTATGTATGTATTGTGCTTCGAATGAACATCTAATTTCCGAATGTCCTCTACTGAAACATTCAAAAGGTGGTAAGCTTCATTCATCTACCTCTATATTGAACGTTTTTCAAAAAAGAAAAGCATCTACTTATTTTTCTATATCTCTCATATTACAGTGGGATACAAAAAGAATCGTGACTGAGGCCATCATTGATTCTGGTGCTAATGGAACTTTTCTTGATTTTTCTTTTGTTTCAAAAAATAAAATTCCTTGTGTTCAAAAAACCAATTTTATTCCAATCAGAGTTATTGACGGTTCATTTATATCCTCAGGACCCATCAAAGATGAAACAATCCCTCTAAGAATGATTACCAACAACGTACATTTCGAATTCATTACATTTGATATTATTAAATCTCCACTTTATCCCGTCATTCTAGGAATTAATTGGTTAAAAAACCATGATCCTTTAATTAAGTGGTCTCCCTTCTCCATCTCCTTTGCTTCTGATTTCTGTAAAAAAACGTGCTTACAACACATTCCTATTCTCCAAACTACTGTAGAACCAGTTATACCTCCATTCTACTCCGATTTTGCAGATGTCTTTTGTAAAAAAGAAGCGGAAACACTTCCTCCTCATCGGGTATATGATTGCCCAATAGATCTCATACCCGGAGCTCCTATTCCTTATGGTCATATTTATCCACTCTCTGAAAAGGAGTTAGAAATTTTAAAAGAATATCTTAATGAAAATTTACGCAAAGGGTTCATCAGACCCTCGACCTCCCCAGCTGCTTCTAGTATTTTCTTTGTGAAGAATAAAGACCAAACCATCCGTCCTATTATAGATTACAGAGCCTTAAATAAAATAACTATTAAAAATCGTTATCCTCTTCCACTAATAAATGAATTAATTGAAAGGTTAAGAACTGCAACTATATTCACTAAACTCGACCTTCGAGGCGCATATAACCTCATTAGAATAAAACAGGATGATGAATGGAAAACCGCCTTCCGGACAAGATATGGTCTCTACGAATATCTAGTGATGCCTCTCGGGCTCTGTAATGCCCCTGCAACGTTTCAACATTTTATCAATGATATCTTTAGAGATCTTCTGGATGTATGTGTTATTATCTACTTAGATGATATCTTAATATATTCTAACAATTTGGATGAACATAGGAAACATGTTAGATGGGTTCTATCTAGACTGAGAACTCATAAATTATACGCTGCCAGGTTACTGAATTCTCTTTTCTAGGATACATTATTTCACCTCATTCTTTGAAGATGGATAATTCCAAAATCAAATGTATTATTGATTGGCCTGCTCCTACTACTACAAAAGAATTACAACGTTTTCTTGGATTTGCAAACTTCTATAGAAAATTTATTAGAAACTATTCGGATGTATCACATCCTCTTAACCTCCTCAACAGTAGTAAACGTCCTTTTAATTGGAATAAAGATGCTCAAACAGCCTTCGACGAATTAAAAAAAAGATTTACAACTGCACCTATTCTACAACTACCTAATCCAACATTCCTATATGTTCTTGAAGTTGATGCATCAGATGCAGCCATCGGAGCAGTTCTTTCTCAACAAAAGACTCCACAAGATCCACTTCATCCAGTTGCCTTTTTTTCAAGATCCTTGAGCTCTGCTGAAAAAAATTATCCTATTGGTGAAAAAGAATTATTAAGTGTTAAAGCTGCCTTCGAAAATTGGCGTCATCTTCTGGAAGATACAAAACAACCTATAATAGTTTATACTGACCATAAAAATCTTGAATATCTCTATACTAACAAAACCCTTACAGCTAGACAAGTTAGATGGAACCTATTTTTTAACCGATTTAACTTCCAATTAATATACAGACCTGGAAATAGAAATAAAAAGGCTGACGCTCTTTCTCGAATTCCTTCTAAAACTACTACTGATGATTATCCTTCTACCAAAATAATAGGAATCCTCTCTTCTCTTCATGATGACATAAAGAATTTGAATCAGAAGGATCTTGAACTTCCCAAAACACCTATACTAACAAAAAGGATGGTCTATTTTATTTTAAAAATAGAATTTATATTCCTCCCATTCTTAGGAATAAATTACTTAAGATGGTTCATGATTCCCCCCTAGCTGGACATCCTGGAATAAAGAAAACACTTGAACTAACTTCACGATATTATTGGTGGCCTCGCCAGGATAGAACCATTGCATTATATGTCAAAACATGTCCTATCTGTCAAAGGTCTAAACCAGAACATAATCAACCTTTTGGATTACTACTTAACTTACCTATTCCAGAAAAACCTTGGCAATCCATTTCTATGGATTTTATCGTTGATCTTCCACCTTCTCAACATTTCACCACTATTCTTGTCGTTGTGGATCGCTTCACAAAAATGTCCCATTTCATTTCTTTAAAAAATTACCCTCCTCTGTAGAATTGTCTAAGGTCTTTATTGACAATATTGTGAAACTTCATGGTCTTCCTGAAGAAATTATTTCTGATAGGGGGACACAATTTACCTCCAAATTCTGGAAAGAGATGTGTCTCTCCCTTCAAATTCAACGCAAACTCTCTTCCGCTTATCATCCCCAAACTAATGGGCAAACAGAAAGGGTTAATCAATGTTTGGAACAATATCTTCGATGTTATTGTTCATACCTCCAAGATGACTGGACCACATGGTTACCTATGGCCGAATTTTCTTACAATAATACCATTCATTCTAGTACGAAAATGACTCCTTTCTTCTCCAACTATGGTTTTCATCCGTCTTCATTCCCCATCCAAACCATTACTTCATCCAATCCTACTGTTACATCAAAAAACGAATTTATGTCTTCTCTATTTCTCAAATTACGGGAGAATCTTCAACTCGCCCAAAATAACCAGAAAAAGTTTTTTGACAATAATAGAAGAATTCCCCCTCCTTACAAGGTAGGGGATCTTGTCTGGCTCTCTTCAAGGAATATTACCACAAGCCGTCCTTCAAAGAAATTGAGCTCTCTTTTTCTTGGTCCCTTTCAAGTAATTACTATCATTAATGATAACGTTGTTAAACTAAAACTTCCTCCAAGTTTTAAACTTCATCCAGTATTCCATGTCTCCTTACTTAAACCACACATCCCTGATCCTTTTTATAGAGAAATAGTAACAACTCCTGAACCTATCATTGTCCAAGGTGAAGAAGAATATGAAATTCACAAAATTTTGGATTCTCGTGTCCACCGTGGCTCCTTACAATACCTTATCAGATGGAAAGGTTATGGAGTTGATGAAGACACTTGGGAAGATTCATCTAATGTACATGCTAGGAGGTTAGTTACTGCCTTTCACAAACGCTATCCCTCCAAACCGAAATAGTGCACCCAGAGGATGCCCCATGGGAAGGGGGTACTGTCAGGTATAGCATGGCATGTAATTTATCGCCGGAACCCACTTCCGGGTTCACGGCGCTCAGCCCCGCCCCTTTCTCTGACGCGGTCCCTCCACGATACTTAGGAGGACCGCGCCAGATTCAAAGGGCTGGATTATTCGCACAGGTGCTGCATGAAGATCAGCTGCTCTACTTCTGATCCTACCTGCTCCACTTCTATACCTCGGCTAGTAAACGGATTTCTACCTTCTCCACTTCTCGACCTCGGCTTGTAAACGGATTTCTACCTTCTCCACTTCTCGACCTCGGCTTGTAAACGGATTTCTACCTTCTCCACTCCTAGACCTCGGCTTGTAACTCTGAATTCTACCTTCTCCACTCCCAGACCTCGGCTTGTTAAAACGGACTTCCCCACTCTCCACTCCTAGTTCTCAGCTTGTTGAAACGGACTTCTAATTTCTCCTTCATTGGGTGAATTAACCCTTCCAGTGCCAGAACTGCCTTTAAGTTAAGTAATACTTTTACCAAACAAGTCAATTACTATTATTTATATTACACAGTATCTAAAACTCACTAAAGTGTCACTTTGTCTAATTATTCCTCTTACTCATAAGGGATTGCTACAAAGCCTAATTTTACCTTCATGGATATTTAAAGGTACAGTGACCATAGTTTCATACCAATATAAAAGGAGGTGAACCTTATTGTTGTTGCAACCAAGAAATGCTGCAGTTGAGTTCCAATTAAAGAAATATTACAAAATAAGTATTACAGGAAGTGAATAAAAGCCAAAACACCTAAAGGAAGTTTTCACATCTATAGTGTATTTT